GGAGTTCCTGGGGCAGCTCTGCAGCTCTATCTTTGCATCCCTTACCTTAGCCCAGCAAGAAGCACACAGCTTTCAATTAAAAAAAAAAAAGAAAGAAAGAAAGAAAAGAAAAAAGAAAAAAAATTACCCACAGTCTCCACTCAGTCTACATAATCACTTTATTTAAAATCTATTCCTACTCATAACAGTGTATCTTAAAAAGTCAACAAATTAGCTGTAGGAAACAGAAATGTAAACCATGCCAATCAAAAACAGGGCTTGAAGGAACAACACTGACAAAAGTACATTCAAACAAATTACATGAACCTTTGGGTTGAAAAATAACAGAATGGAATGGGCAAAATGAAACTACCATGGATTGATAATAAGCTCTATGAGGGGCGAAGATTTTTGTTTGGTTACCTGCTATAACTTCAGAGCCTAGAACAGTGTCCGGCACATAGCAAGCACTCAATAAATATTTGTTTAATGAATAAATGTGTTGTTCTGGCTAAAAAAAAAAAAAGAAATGAAATACGATTAGTTTTTTCTTTTATTAGAATTTGATTTGAGTTTTTTAAAACTTGTTCTAATTCTAGAACTAAAGAAAAGATCTGTTATGCAGCTGTAAACAATTTATTTTATGTAGACCACTGCCAAATAGTGATATTTTAATCCCATCAGGGATAGAAAGTAGTATGCAAATTGTTCCTTCTTTCATAGAGAGAAAACTTTCTCTCGTTGGTTCTCAATAAGAGAACCCGTATTCTCTTGCCTTATAGTTCTGCAATATTAGGGAAGCTCAAATTAGAAAATCCAGTGTATATGCATGACATTTGGTTCTCTCCAGGGAAATGAACTTATTTAGCTAGATTAATATTCCTTGGGGAACTAGTAACAATTGGTTGTTTCTCAGAGATGGTCTTCTCTAGCTTTATGGATACTCCATCTCAATGATGTGAAGACAAATAAAATACTAAAAGAAAAAAACCACGTTTCAGTAATTGGAGAATTTTCAAGTAGCATGATGCTGCAGCAATCAGATATTATCTATGGCAACACACCTTTTCAGGCAGGAATTCGATCAGTTCAGTTCCATAAATATTTATTTGGAGACTGCTGTGTGTAAGGCAACATGATAGACACTGGAGACACAAAGTTGAAAGGTGCATAGATTGTCCTGAAGTATTTCAGTCTTTTCTTAAACTAGCTTAGATGGACTCTATTCTGTTTTTGAAGATTTGCATTCATCTATTCATTTATATAACAAATACTTATTAAATATCTACTATGTGATAATTTGTCCAGCTCTATTGTGGGAATAAAATAACAAATCCTGAAGATCAGGGAGCTCATCATTCCCCACAGGAGATAATTATAAATTAAAATGACCTTGGGTTTTGAGACTAGTTAAATAAAGAATCCATGTCTTTTGAAGTGTTATTACTGTGCTAGGCACATTTACCCCTAACCGTCCTTTCTAAATAGCCTCTAAATAGCCTCCCTCCCCGCCCCTGCTTACTTTTTTTTTT